ACAGCTTGAAGACTTGTGGACTTCAACTCCCAGAATTCCTCCTCTCACTCTTCATCTTGATGATGTGCAGACTGGCGGGGGGAGGGGGCTGGAACCGGGTCTAAATGGCACTGTAGGTTTGTGGAACCTCTTCTATAGAAGAGGTTAGAACTGGCAGGAACCCACCCCTGCTTTGAACAGTCACTAAATGAACTGCTGTAAGTTGAGGACAATCTGTACCTATACCAGAAAGTGAATGGAGACTTACCCCTCCTTGCTGTTGTCATCTTTGACTTCAATCAGGTTGTCCAAGTCGTGGCTTGTTTAAACATGAAACAAAATCAGTGCAAAGATTTCAAGCAGGTCGAATTGTTATTGAGCTTTAATTCCTTTTTTTAAATACATTTAAGATCTGAATTACAATCCTGGATTCCATCTGCAAGTAGCTATTATTAGCAACACTGGTTTATTTGAATGAAAAGACAAGGTATAAATTTAACAAATAATGTGTATGAATAATATAGCTACATAATACTTGGAAAGAAGTGGGTATGAATATATGTTTTAAAGTTCTACAAGGAAGCATAAATGGATAAGCATTGCCTCCTTATCAATGTTAGCTTCACATGGTTTTTTCGGGGGGGGGGGAGTGACAATTATTGTAGGCAATAATTATTGTAGGGCTTCAGTAGGCAAGAACCAGACCAGCATAGCTGCAACAGCTTTTATTGACTCAAAATGGAACTGGGGAACTGCAGACAAATGCCTGTGATTTATACTCTAGGCCCACAGGACCAAAACCAATCAAAGAACAAGACAAAGCCTGCCCAAATATAAATGTTCTACATTTCCCTCTAAAACAGTTAGTGTCATCTAAAGGTTAGTTTCACTTTAGCATAATTAACAGTTAAGGTCATCTAAAGGTTAGTTTTACTTTAGCACAGTTAGCACAACTATATACATCCAATCCATAACGACTAGGAAAAATTAAAACAATACTCTTTTCAAAATACAATCTCAGTGCTGATTTCACTTGAAGACTTACCACTTCTCTTCCCATTTAGAGGTATGATTCACTTTGATAAAATCATCTATATCTTGGTGCCTGCAAATTTGAAACAAAAGCGAAGGCGATTTATTCTCAATATACGCTGAAATTTAGCTGATAACCGAGAAGCACCAAAACTCTCTAACTGCTACCTTCTAATGACCATGGATCTATCTTTTTAGCAATTTACAAGACAAAACCTGCCAAGCACAGTCCTTCCAGGAAATCATTGAAAATGATAATGTCCATGTTTAGAGGGTGGAGGAAGCCACAAAAGAAACAGCTATCTTTGATTTAGTGGGATGCAGTGGCTCAGTGGCTAAGACACTGAGCTTGTTGATCAGAAAGTTCGGCAGTTCGGAGGTTCAAATCCCTAGTGCCGCGGAACGGAGTGAGCTCTTGTTACTTGTCCCAGCTTCTGCCAACCTAGCAGTTCGAAAGCACGTGGAATTGCAAGTAGAAAAATAGGGACCACCTTTGGTGGGAAGGTAACAGCGTTCCGTGCACCTTCGGCATTTAGTCATGCCAGCCACATGACCACAGAGATGTCTTCGGACAGCACTGGCTCTTTGGCTTTGAAACAGAGATGAGCACCGCCCCCCCAGAGATGAGAACGACTAGCACATACGTGCGAGGGGAATCTTTACCTTTTTATCTTTGATTTATTAAAGATTTGTAAAGATTCAACCAGAAAAAGTGGGGGTACTTTGTGAAAAGTGAATCAGCAAGCCTCTTCCTGAGGCAACTGCTAGAATTTATTCAAAGTAAGTGTCGCACCATCGCAATATAAGAGCCACATCTTTTGAACATGTGCGTGACACACATACAAAAGAGATGGAATTTGCAGTGTCGGTTTTACACTACATCTGTATGCATCTTCCCTCTCTACAGATGGCTCTGCCCTCCTCCTCTTCCATATTCACCCTCTCACTTCAGCCGTCTGCCAGCCCTTTGGTAGATCAGATAAGGAAATAGACATTGCAAGGACTATGGGAACTCTGTGGTAATCTGCTAGACATTCCCTCTGCCTCCACTTATACTGTACAGAATCAAAGCAGGGTTATTTTGGGTCTCCTTCTCACAGTCCCTGTGTTTCTCAGGTACATGATGTTGCTTACTGCCTCCTTTATCTGTGAATGTGTCTTGTCTTCCTTACACCTTCACAACATGGGTTCCTGATTCCAATACATGAAATCAGCCTTTCAGAGACTAATTAGTTACAATGATAAATTATTTAAACTTCCTGCAATATTTACAAGAGTTCCATATTGGCAATTTACATGTATATATTTACAACTCTATGGGCTTGTTAAACTAAGACAGGAGTATCAAACTCAAGGCCCATGAGCTGAATCTGGCCCATGGGATGCTTAGATCTGATCCGTGGGAACAGCGAAGGACTGGCCGGTGGAACTCCGTTTTCACTGACAGAGTGCTTGGGCCACCATAGCCGCTCCCGCACTTCCGACATGAGTGATGTCAAGATGGCCACTCCCACCCTAGCCATACCCAGCCCAGCCCCCAAGGTCAAACACAACCCTGATACAGTCCTCAATGAAATCGAGTTTGACACCTCTGAACTAAGAACTAACTATGGCTGCTAAGACCATTCACTTAATTTTGTAACTAAAATGGAAGGGAATTCTTTCTGGTCAAGACACTGCATGATTAAAACTCATTAGTTTTTACACAACTCATAGGTACAAATAGCACCATCCAAGATGTTTGACTACACATTCCCCATCTGCCCTCCACTACTATTTGTAGTCACAGGAAGAATATATAGCAATAGCAGTAGACTTATATACCGCTTCATAGGCCTTTCAGGCCTCTCTAAGCGGTTTACAGAGAGTCAGCATATTGCCCCCAACAATCTGGGTCCTCATTTTACCCACCTCGGAAGGATTGAAGGCTGAGTCAACCCTGAGCCGGTGAGATTTGAACCGCTGACCTGCTGATCTAGCAGTAGCCTGCAGTGCTGCATTTAACCACTGCGCCACCTTGGCTCATATGTAATTCATGGCTCTTGGAGGAACTTCCTTTAGTGGATCAAACCAGAGGCCACACTTATTTTGATAGGAGGAAACACACACACACAAACTGTAGCAGTAAACTAATTTCATCCTCAGAAGAATCCCATATAGGATACCCAGTTCCCCTTACTAGTTGTTACACTGAGGTGGCAGGTCAAGAAAACGAACTGTAATTCCTATCTTCTCATTCTCTCCATAGTGGCAGGCAAGTAGTCCTTCAGTTGCAACAATTGAGCCCAAAATTTATGTCACTAAGTGAAACATTTGTTAAGTGAGTTTCCCCCCATTTTATGACCTTTCTTGCCACAGTTCTTAAGTGAATCATTGCATTTGTCGAGTTAGTAACATGGTTGTTAAGTGCATCTGGATTCTCCGTTGACTTTGCTTGCCAGAGGGTCACAAAAGGGGATCACATGACCCCAGGATACGGCAATGCTCATAAATGCGTGACCCAGTTGCCAAATACCTGAATTTCGATCAAGTGACCATGAGTAGGTTTGCAATGGCCATAAAGTGAGAAACGGTCACTAGACCAGTGTTTCTCAACCTAGGCAACTTGAAGATGTCCGGACTTCAACTCCCAGAATTCCCCAGGTTGAGAAACACTGCACTAGACCATACCTACTTATTTAACAAATCAGGCTTTTTTATAATGTTAACTATTTTTGTAAGATACAACTCATAAAATTTATCCAGATCTGAGGAAGGCAAATAAGCTATAACAAAATGTAAAAGCTTAGTCTCAGAAAAGTTATAAATCAGGTATGTACTTCCCCAGCTGATGTGTACATACCTCTTATTTGTCCTGCTGTCTAAGACAGGCGAGGTGTTTACCTTATTAGTATCACTTCTGCCAGGAATCCTAAATAGCAAAGATAGTTTTCACATTAAATATAAAGCATACTAGCTTTTACAATGTAAAGAGTAGCTTTAAAATTAAAAGCTAGTATTTCCTTGAAAGTAAAAAAGAAACCATTAGCTTTTTCATGCAGTTCCCCAGTGACCAGCACCATGTTACTTAGAATTTTTTTTCCTAATATAGTAAAATATTATTTTATCAATTGAATTTATTATTTTTCTTGAATTAGTGTTCCATGGCAGTCAAATTAAAATAGTCTACCAAGTCCTTTAACAAAGAAGCAAAGAGTCTCTGCAATTAAAGTGACCCCTTACCACTTCAAATGTTCCCTTAATCATCAAACATGATTGATTGGGAAGTTTACTGCAACCTAAAGACATAGACAATTCTCTTTAAAACACAGTCATTACACCGAACCAAAGAGGAAGTTATGTTTAACACCTATTTCCTTTAAGCCAACAAAATTACACCAAAGACAACACATAAGCCCTTTCCTGGCACGTGTTTGCAGTTGACTTAAGCGTGGTCAGGGAATTAACCCAATTTCCTGCATTCCCATGGCATTCAAACACAAACCCAGCATTGCTTACAGCTAAAATGGCTGTTGGTTTGGCTATTGGTCTCTGACTGAGTGAAGAGAATGTGTCTGGTTCTTGGACCTCTGAGCCCAAAAGAGAGGAAGGGGTGTCCGGAAGTGCTTTCGCCTTGTGCAGCCACAGCAGCCCTTGGACTGCCTACACTGAGGTGATTGTGATGTTCGAAGAAATGTCCATCTGGGCTCAGCTCCAAGTGGGGAAAAAGACACTGGAAACATGGAGGCTGTTTGGAAAGATGCTTTTAATGGTGCACAGGACCACATGGCGTGAAGTCCTGAACAGAAAAGGTGATCACATGCTTCAAAGATGTTGAGTGAAGAAAAAGAAGGGAAAGGGGCTTGCTGAAAGTTCCTGAGTTTTTCATACCCTCTGTTCAGCCCTACCTCTCTGTTTCCTGTTCCTGTGTAAGAAATGTATTCTGATTGGTTGTCAGACTCCCGGGGGTGGGTGGGTGGTCTTAGCTAACTTTATAGGTTGTGTGTTTTTTGAGTCCCAAGCTTGGTTGAGTTCCCAGATGCCATGTGGTGAGTTTCTGTTGCAGATGTATCTGCCTGAAGGAGGTATATCTTTGTTATGTAGAATAGACTGGCTCAGGCCTTTTAATGGCCCATTGACAAAGGAGGGGGCAGCTATTAAGAGTGAGCCTGTTTCCTGCCTAAAACATGTTTCTCTGGCTCTTCATGAACAAATGTGGGGGGGGGAGGGAATGAGTTTCTGCCTCCCTTTAGGGGGAAATATTCTGCCCTTTTAATATTTCCTAAAATATTTCATTTTCTGGGAGAGGGGTGGATGCTAACATCCTACAGTAAGAAGCCCTAGACCTGCGAAGGCAACCTGAAGATGGGCACATCGGGTGTCCTCTAGCATCACTCATAGAAAATGAAGAACAACAACAACTCAGAAGAGGCAAGATTCATGTCTATGACCTGTTGGGAGCCACTTATCACCACAGCTACGTATATTAGAAGGAATACAGAGAATACCTCCTTATGGTCAGTCTCTACAAACAACAATACACATGAAGTAGTTTTCAAACTAGGTGATTTAACAATAGTGAATATCTAAAAACCACCTCTGACATCAAGGCCGCAGCATGTCCTGAACATCAAGCTGCATTAAACAATCTACATGGGCGATTTCAATAGCCATCACATTAATTGGCCATTCTATTGATGACAACAATGAACAATTGTCCAATTGGGGAGCAGCAAAGTCCAACTGATTTTCAACGCTAAAGATAAGGGCATGTTTAAATCAGTGGAATGGAACTGATCCAGACTTGTGCTTTGGCCAAACTTGCAGCCAGTCCCTATAAACCGCCAAATAATGGATATATTCCCGCACAGCCAATACCACTGCATCTTGCTAGAAGTTGGAATCTACATTCCCCTAATTCACTCTATCCTTAGACCCAGAAAGAACTTTTAAAAAGCCAACTGGCCCAAATTTGCCCAAAATCTTGATAAAAATAGATATCACAGATTTTCACCAAGCAGTCAGCACTATCATAGATTTGTGAAGGCAATAATCACCTTGGTGAAAAGACAAATACTTCTAGGATTTAGAAGAGAGTACATCCCAGGATGCAATGAAGAAACTGAAGGTTCTATCACATCTTCCTACACAGCAGTGACTTGGAATTCCCCAATGATCTTTTACACAACTTGGGTCCAGTGTGGTGTAAGAAGTGGGAACAATACACAGAATCACTAAATTTCAGCATACGCAGTAGGAAAGCTTGGAGGCTATTAAGGAAATTGGACACAGGTAGAAAACTTGCACAATAAACACTCAGTGTAAGTGAAAGGACACTCCTTTCTCATCAATAAAGCACTTTCAGCTTTTTGGCAGTCAGGCTGAATACTTTCTGAGTACTCTTGTCCCTTCTCTTTGAAGGAAATTGACACTGTCATTGATAATCTAGAATATGGTAAAGCACCAGGCTTTAATGGCATTCATTTAGATGTCCTGATAAATCCTGGGAAGTACACATGGGATTGGATTGGTAAATTTATCTCAGATATAGAGACTAAACTCATTTGGACTATACCAAATAAATAAATAAATTCTTTTGACAATCATTTTTCCATTAAATAATCGAAGCAAGTTAGCATTTTTCTATATTAAACTGGACTTGATTTTAACAACTGTTTTTTGGTACATTACACATTCTGGTTTTTTTTAAGGCATCCTAAACCCGAAAACTGCATCACAATACTTAAGAAAGTACAAAATACAGGAGACAGCTAAACTGTAGCCCAAGCTCTGGTCTGAGAAATATAGAACTGATAATTTTATAGCATAATTTTGAGTCAATTAATTTCTTCAGACAACCTGAGATGAGAATCTTCAATCTGTAGGAGCTGAAATAGATTGTTACAGATTGTTTACATTCTACCTATCTTTCAAATCGCTTTGAGGATTGTGAATCTTCACAACAACAACAACATTCAAAATTATCTTAAACTAATTTAAGAGTGTCAGATCTGTGATGCAAATCAAGGCAACTACTGTATAAAGTAGGAGCAGAGAATTAAAGCCTGTTTCATAAAATATATTGGCTTAAGTCACTATAGAGTATACACCTGTATTGAATTGAATTGCAGATGAGCTTAAAATTTAGCAGAGAGATTTAATTCAAATATAAAACTATGTTACATCATAGTCATAAAATATAAACAAAATGCTTAAATTAACAAAGCTTTTTAACCTGAAGAAATTTGCTTTCATTCAGATTGCATAATATCGTACAAAAGCAAAACAAAATAAGCGTAAATCAATTTTTACCTGTCTAAAGTAGTATCAGATCTGTATCGATTAAGAATAGTTTTCTCATCATCCTCCGCTTCCATGTTCCTAGTATTAAGAAAGGAAGATTTCATGATAGTTAATAATTAATAATTAGTTATCCTCTCACAGACGTATGACATTTACCAGCTATTTAGCCTATATAAAATTATCTTTGGAACTATGGAATAAACTAAAGTATCACAGCATCTCTGCTAATATAATTAATACAATATTGTTTAAAATAATATTTTTATTAAATAATATACATTTAATATTATAAAATTATCTTCACAATTAAGTATGCTATAAATAAGAAAAGTGTAATAAGTTTTTGTTATTTACGTCTAAATTTTATCAATTTCAATTAATCTATGTTGCATCCAAGACATAGTAACAAATTCTCCCTGAGGTTTCAGCATTCGCAAATTTGTTATTTGCAACATTATTGCAGAATGTCTCTATTACAAATCACAGGAAATGCCTTAATCCAAAATTAGGAACATAAAAAATAGGGAAGTGATGGCAAAAAACAGATCTAATGGTCCATCGAGTTTGTCCTTTGAGTTTATTTGCTGCTTGTTTTCTTTTTAATTAATTTATTATTTTTATATTTTATTAAATTTTATTTTATTTTTGTTGCATGATGGACATGTGTTTAGCCCAAGCAGGCTTAAACCATAGAACTTTTATCCTTAAAATAAATAAAATCACTTCTTTCCATAATTTGATATCTTGTATGTGAAAACAAAACTAAAATAAAATCACTTTCCATTACGGTTACCGTATTTGACCTGAAAAAGTTATTTTCTGAATGGCCAGAAATGGAAACAAGGAATTTGTGTTTCCTGATCGGTCTTCTATTGGTCATCCAAAGATTTGCAGCCTAGAATATAGTCATGTCGACCACATGACCACGGAGATGTCTTCGGACAGCGCTAGCTCTTCAACTTTGAAACAGAAATGAGCACCACTCCCTAGAGTCGGGAAAAACTAGCACATATGTGCGAGGGGAACCTTTACCTTAACCTTAACCTTAACACCAGCAATATCAGACCTCAATTTAATGAATAAATTGTTCAAGAGACAGGAAGTAGTATTTTTTCTGTCCTACAAAACTCATAATAAAAGGAGATTCCACTTTTATTACAAATACAATGCTAATTATTTCCTCCTAAAACTCCTCTTAAGAGATTAGTGGAAAGGCCTGACTTTGCTCAATTAATACATTAGGTTCTTATACATCATTAACAGTACAATGAATTGCAACATTGCAGATGAAATGGGCATAAGGAAAGAATATATACATTAAAATGACATTGTACCTGTGCAAGTTCTCTTGTGATTTATACTGATTAAGAACCACTCTGCCATAGTTTTCATTGGTGCTGCAATAAACAAAAATTAGATATCACCCTTAAATATAGTACAGACAGTCCTTGACTTACAACCACAGTTGGACTGGAAAATCTATTGTTCACTGGTGTGATTGTTCAGTGAGGCCTCATGTGGCTGCACCTGATTTTATAACCATGATCGTTAAGTAAGACATCACTTGATCACGATTTTTTAAAACTCCCCTGGTGGTTTTCCCATAGAGTTTGCTTATTGGAAACTGGGT